TTCAGTAGACCGTCTGAAACACATAAAGGAGCCAGTAGAACATGAAAGAGGCTCTTGCTTTTGTTTTCTTTTGTCAGTTCCCCAAAGAGAGCCTCTTAAACATGAGTGTTTTTTTTAACTGAGAGACAGGGATGCTAATGTTTTATATTTTTGTTGTTCTTCCTTATTTTGTTTACTCTTTTTTTAACCGCTTGTCTGTCAAATTGCCCAGGAAATTTCACACCATAGTGTCACAAGGGACTGTTGTCTGCGGCCAGTCAGTCAGTGGGCAGAATGGGAATTGTGAATCTCTAAAAGGACGTAGATTGGCATTCAGTGGGAACCCAGTTGGAACCCAGTAGGAGTGCTTATTTTGTTTCACTGGAGCCTCCACAACTACCAGTCAGTCTCCACACTTACTGGTTGGATTTAGGATCTCACTCTGTCACTTAGAGAGGAACCTATTTAAGATATGCAGATAATACCATCTTACTAACAGAAAGCACAATGTCCTGAAATGACTTTTAGTGAAACTGAATGAAGAAAATGCCAGTCTCCACACTTACTGGTTGGATTTGGGATCTCTGTCACTTAGAGAGGAACCTGTCTATGTTGCTGAAGAGGTTGGTAGTGGCCCAGGGAAGAGCCCTGCTCTTTCCCCTCCCTCGCCTCACCTTGCCACCATGTAACTCCCTGATGTGTCTGCTGGCCTGCAACCACCTCAGCCCTGTTGTGCTGCAAAGAACAGAGATGAAGAGGGTGCCTTAAAATTGAAAACATGATGCGGGAACAGAGCTTGGCAGATAGCCTAGACCACTGGTTCTTAACCTTGGGTTACTCAGGAGTTTTGGACTGCAACTCCCAGAAGCCTTCACCACCAGCTGTCCTGACTGGGGTTTCTGGGAGTTGCAGTTCAAATGCATCCGAGTAACAAAGGTTAAGAACCACTGGCCTAGACTGCTAGAATGATGGACAGGTGGGTGCTATATATATTGCATCAAGCCTGATATCTCTCTACAGGCAAAAATGACAAAACTGAGGCTGTTGTACTTTGGACACTTAATAACAATACAACACTCACTGGGGGAAAAAACCAATCATGCTAGGAAACATTTTAGGCAACAGGAAAAGAGGACAACTAAATAGGAGGTGAATTAACTCCACAAAAGAAGGTGTTAGTATGCAAAAATAGGTGTGAATTTGCAAAAGCTGAATAGGGTTGTTGATGACAACACATTTTGGAGGTCACTCATTTTTAGGGTCAGCATAAATTGGAGGCAACTTGATGGCCCTCAGCAACAACAAGCTCATTGTACTCTGTGCGTAAAGATCATTTGACTGACACCAAATACCTCCCATGACATCTGTCTTGTACTGTTCTGTTTCCTCACATTGTATGTTGTTACATTCCTGCATTTCAGACTGCATGTTAATGAAATCTTTGTCACAAAGGAAAAGAAGGTCTGCAGTTCAACTCCTGCCTAATGTTTCCCAGGCTCAGCTTTTGATGAAGGAAGGATAGAGAACCCTATAAAAAGCACAAACATTGGCGATAGCATTTTTACACTATCTGTGCATTCTGATTGAGTTAGATGTTGTTGATTTGAACCCTTATTCTGTACCAGTAATTTGAACATCTGGTATGGTTCAAGATCAACATACATAATCAGTTAATACTTCAAGTTCTAGTCTGATTCAGGAAAAATTGTTTGTTCTGGTTTCTGGCTCTTATTTTGATTACTCTTCAGAGGAATTCCCAATTATTTTCATTTATCCTCAGTGAAAGTTTTTCAAATTCTCTTTTTTCTAATAAAAATATTTTGCTTTAAAAATGTGTCCCTAGCAATGCCATCATAGAGCCAGATATGACTGGCTATATACCATCATGATATCATATAGTTCTTTAGGTGATTCCTGATTGCCTGGGATCAGTCAACTGAGTGGCCCCAGAAGTACAGAGCAGAAGCAGAACTAAATACATTGGGAAAAGTTAAAGTTCTTACAATAACCACACCATATTTTTCCGTGTATAAAATGACACTTTCCCCTTAAATAATTAGACAAAAAATGAGGGTCGTTTTATACACGGAAGGCAATCGCTTTTCCCTGCCTTTTGTGAAGCCACAGGGCTTAGCAAAAAGGAAGGGAAGGCTCCCTTCAGGTAAAGCAGCCGTGAAAGGGTTGAACGATCACGCCTCTTTGATCCTGAAGCTCTTTCATGGATGCTTCAGGATCAAAGGGGTGCGATCGTGAGGTCCTTTCATGGCTGCTTTATCAACTTCCTAAGCCCCGCAGGGATCAAATTTTCTAATCAAGGGGTTAGAAAAGGGGGGGTCATCTTACACAATGGGTCGTCTTATAAACAGAAAAATATGGGATGTGTTTGTGTTGCAGTCGTCTTATAAACAGAAAAATATGGTATGTGTTTGTGTCGCGGGGAAGGGATTACCACCCATTATAGTGACTTATGATTAATCCGACAATTAAAACTGCTGTATATTCAGCAAAATATCTAAATAAATACTTTATACGTACATACATACATACATACTTTTTTGCTTTGTAGTCAATCAGGCTGTACCAAGAGAACAGATTAAACCAGTCTTAAATACTTGATTTAAAAACTTCTGTAATCTGGCTTGAATATGTACATGTATGTACATAAAATGAACATAACATATGGAAGTGGAACCAAATATGTTTCAAATATTGACATACTAGTAGGGACACTATGAGTTTCCCATTCTGGACAGCAAAATATATTTTACAACCCTGCATAGTACTTTTGATTAAATTTTAGCCTAATTTATGGAAATATGAATCAGAGCTGGTGATGCAAATGGTACGACAAAGGATGCTATGGAACATTATTGGAGGAATTTTGTTTTACTTCTGCCACTCATAGGCACGCAGAGAGATCCAGTCCTGTCAGCTGTCATTCTTTCTCTTCACCCTAGAAAACTGTCAATGGCAATCTCCCATAACCTCAATTATCCCTTATCTTCCATTACAATGCAATGAAATATTCATTAAACCATAGCTAGCTATGACAGGGGAATGGTGGCAGAAGCCCCCTTGTTTACTACATGAATTCATGTAGAAATAGGAATCTTACAAAGTACTATTTCTTCCCATGTTTTTCTCTTTTCTTTCTTTTTTTTAATCATGCGACACTTTGTTAGGAATATTACTATGCTTAGTTTCATTATTAGAACTTTTCAACATTGCTTTCTGTTCTTTTTTTAAAAATAGTATATCACTTTCACACATCCATGGTTTTCTACCCTTGTGTCCGAGCATATATGTAAAGGAGAAACAGTAGTCAGTTAGGCAACTGGAAAAGAAACTAGAAACATCCTCTAGACCAAATATGGAAGAGAGACTAAATCTCAGGACACTGGAAAGTTAGTCAACATCAAATGTTCCCTTGTACATAGGCCATTGCCCTGCAGACAGCATTCTCCCCATTAGCTGCAGCAGATCTCTAAGTTTTTCCCTGTCTGAAGAAGGCATGGATTGACTGGATCTTCTGCAGGTAAAGCATGTACTCTTAGCATTGAACTAAGGGCTATAAATTATAAAAGTCCATAAATACGATATAAGATATTATCAGCAATTCCACCCCTAAGAACCTAAACTTGGCCATGACAGAGGAAAATATGGCCCAACCAGGTACTGGCTTATCATATACATTACAATGAGACTTCACATGATCCAGTTATGTCAAGATGGTCACTGATTGTGAATGCATTAGTAATGTATTGTGCATTTCTTTTGATGTAAAGGTTACCCCAGCCCAAACTTGTTAAGAATGACACATTTTTCATCCATGCTTGCTCCCTGTACTACTTAACTTACATTTATTAAATCCTTATTTTCTTTCCTTAGGAGTCTCCTATTTTTCACATTCCCATTGGGCTCTTGAGTAATTTTGACAGGCTCATTATTTTTCCCTATTCTCTGAGGGCTGAAATCATGACACTGAAGGGGAGAATTTCACCACCTGGAACTCAATAGACATTGAAGGAACATATCCAAAACCTCACCAAGCTTCTAATGGTAACTATTAGTAACATACACAGTTCCCTATTGGTTATGGTTACCCAATAATTTATATTACAGGTATATTCCCTTTCCCTTCCACAAGTCACAGGAAAAGAATACAGTACTAGCAAAGCTGGTTAGTTAATCAGAGAAGATACATAATATAGCTTTAGAAATCATTTAGTTTGTAAATGATATTCTATAAAAGCAACCACCAACCAGGACATTTCCTATGGAGAATATTAATGGGTGACTAAATTCTGACCACACATATATCCCTCTATAAACTCAAATTTAAGAATCATCAGGAAATATTATTCCAGGCCCTAGATATTATGCATAAGTGAAATCCATTTTTGAAGACAGTGTAAAGTGTGAAGTGCATACTACTAGTTCTTTTTCTTGCCCTCTACGATTTATTCTAGTTAATCTGTAACTGTACAGAAAACCAATCCTTTTAAAAAAGCAAAAAACCATATCCAGTGAAACTCTGGAATTGCCCTATAACACAATGTTGATATTTCTGATGATGGCTGCTAGACAAACCATATAAAAAAATGAAAGAAGCTTGGGAACATTTCATAGAATCTCTGGTATGAACACTTACATGCAACATCAGAAGCAGAAAAGTTAACAGGTCAAAACTATAAGATCATACAGTCAATATGTTAGATGACTTCACTAATCAATGAATGGTACAGCTTCATTACCTCTATTAGCATGAACGAAATCACATCACCTGGCTCATTCTGGAGATATGCAAGTTGATGATAAATATCATAATATACTAAAAAAAAAACAACTTTGGTCTCTCAATGGAATAATTCAATGAAAATTACAGTATATTAAAAGTCATAATGAAATCCAATGTTTATCAATAATTATTTTTAAAAATGCACCTTCAGTCTAACTTCAGAAGTATCTTTGCTACAATGAACAAAAATCCTTATTGCCACTACAAAAAAAAAAGGACTGACCTGTCCAAGCATATCTGGTGCAATTGGAATGGTGGGCCAGATGGTAGAGTAAACACCAAAGAAGACCAGCCAAAGCAGCATGCTTCCCCAAACAGCTAAATGGCTGAACTGTCGGGAAAAAGAAACAACACAATCAAAACACAGTGCAATGCCAACAGCTTCCTCCTGTCAGCTTCCCACTCTTGACCCGCAGGTATTATTTTACTTCCCACTGTTCTTTTTCCATCCAGGCTTTTGCCAGGCTCACTCAGAGCGATCTGACATGCTTGATCTAAAGCCAGAAGCAAGAGTGATTAAACTCCTCAGAATACTCCCATGTTAAATCTTTTCTCTGTGATGCAACATGTTGCTTTCTCTCAAACAGCACCTCACAGACTTAAAACAACAACAATAATAATTCAACCCCAAACAGATCCTTAGCATTTATTTACACACTCTGTTTTCCATAGCTTCCAGAATACAACACAGAGGGACAGTGGAGTCAAGGAACATGGGATTCTGGGTTCCAAAATAGGCTGTGGAGTGTTATACAATTGCTATTATTTTACTACATAGTGACTTCTCTTAGAAAAGCGACTTTAGGATTCCAGATTTTGTATGATTTACTGTAATTAAACAAGACAGCCACAGGTTATTTCTTTTTGCTCATTTACATAACCATCCCCACTCCAGACTGCTACTACAAAGCTGTTCTAAACACCACCTGAGATTTCTCAGTAATAGGGCCTGCTTTTATAGAGACTCCAACATTACCTTTGGGACAGTACGAAGCACTGGAATCCTGATGGATATCATTTCTGCAAACTGACGTACTCATCATGAGTTATCCACATAAAGTGGGGATGAGGAACTCTCCATTGTTTTGGAGGTTGGATGCTTGTGGTAGGCAAATTCAGAAACAAAAACGGGCAAGGTTGCTCCTTTTTATTTCAGTTGTCGCCCCCCTTTTTCCCCCCTGACTCCTCCTCTTGGATTTTGCTGTGCACTCTGTGTTCTAACAGATTTTCAACAGAGTTTTATTCTATTCCTAATCTGGTTTTGGAAAGTTGTCTTTCATAGTAACTCTTCAGAAGTCATTGGGGAAATCCCTGAAATCTTTTAAACAATCTTCTGTGCTGGGGTTTGGGATGTTGTTGTTGGGGTATCTATTTGTGAATTGATTAGTGCTGACACTGAAAGCTTCTGACCCAAGAAGTTTTTGTCTCCTGAACTCTGCTCCCATGCCAATTGAGAACAAACATCCATCCATCCACCCATCCCTGGAAGTAGTTTTAAAAAAAACCCTGAAAGCTGGATTTTTGTCATTCTTTGTTAGTATTGATACTCAGCTGAGGCTTATGCTATCTGGATGGAACAAAAAAATCAGTATAACCACATGATTGGGTACATATAGGGGAAGACATGTTTCATAAAGATGAGTCCTATATTAAATTCCAACATAATGTACACACTTTTGCTTTTTTCATACAGAGTATGATAGAAATACATGAAGAACTAAGTAACTATATAAAATGTACCACATTCAATTCTGGGATACATTTGATAAGACTCTTCAGTAGTGCTGAGGCGTTCCTTGTTCACAAACTATGGGAGCAGGAATGGTAGCTGTGGTTACAAACAGCGCTTCACTTAGCATCACATTCTCCTTAATATCCACAGTACAGTGCTAATTCCTAGAAAGTGTGTTTAGGAGTGCAATTATTTTTAAAATTGTCTTTGGTTACTTGCGTTTTAATGCGTAAGTGAAGGTGAAGCCCCTTCTGAAAAAGCTCTACGCTGCTCCTTTGCACAACCTGGCCCTGCATTGGGCCTCTTTCCATGAGGGAATGGTATCTTCCCCTACATCTAGGGCAGCAGTCATATTTTTCACCGGCTGCTTTTAACTCTGAAAACCTCAATGGCGTAATCCTTAACATGCAGTTCATCTGGCCCTGCAGTTCTTTCAGAACCACTGTCCATTATTTTCTTGAAATCATGGGAAATGGGTGAGCTGCCAGACAGTTGGAGGAGGGCTAATGTTGTCCCTATCTACAAACAGAGCAAAAAGGAGGAACATGGGAACTACAGCCCAGTCAACCTGACATCAATCCCAGGAAAAATTCTGGAGCAGATTATAAAGCAGTCACTATGCAAACACCTAGAGAACAAAGCAGTAATAACTAGAAACGAACATGGATTTGTAAAGAACAAATCCTGCAAAATTAATCTAATCTTATTTTTTGATCAGGTAACCTCCCTAATAGACAGAGTGAATGCTGTAGACATAGTATACCTTGATTTCAGCAAAGCTTTTGATAAAGTGACCCATGATATTCTGATTATCAAGTTAACTAGGTGTAGGCTGGACAGAACAACTGTCAGGTGGAAACAGAATCATAGTCAAATGGTGATGATAAATGGGTCCATTTGCGGATGACACAAAATTGAGTGGAATAGCTAGCACCCTGGAAGGCAGAAACAAAACTCAAAATGATTTAGATAGACTTGAGCAATGAGCTGAAAACAACAGAATGAAATTCAGCAGGGATAACGGCAAAGTACTGCACCTCAGAAAAAGAAACCAAATGCACAGTTACAAGATGGGAGATACCTAGCTCCACAATACTATGAGTGAAAAGGATCTTGGAATCATTGTAGATCACAAGCTGAATATGGGTCAACAGTGTGATGTGACTACAAAAAAGGCAAATGCTATTTTAGGCTGCATTAACAGAAGTATAGTCTCCAAATCCTGTGAGGCACTAGTTCCCCTCTATTCGGCACTGGTTAGGCCTCATTTTGAGTACTGTGTCCAGTTCTGGACACTGCACTTCAAAAAGGATGCTGACCAATTGTAAGAAGTTCAGAGGAGGGCAACAAGGATGATCAGGGATTGGAAACCACGCCTTATCAGGAAAGGCTGAAAGAATTAGGCATGTTTAGCTTTGAGAAAATAACCGTGAGGGAAGATATGACAGCACTTTTCAAATACTTGAAAGGCTGTCATATAGAGGAAGGGCAGGATCTGTTCTCAATCCTCCCAGACAGCAGAACGTGCAACAATGGGTTCAAGTTACAGGAAGCCAGATTTCAGCTGAGCATCGGCAAAAATTTCTTAACAGTTAGAGTAGTATGACAATGGAACCAGTTACGTTGAGAGGTGATGAGTGCACTGACACTGGAGGCCTTCAAGAGAAATTTAGACAACCACCTGGCAGATATCCTTTAATTTGCATTTCTGCACTGAACAGGGGGTTGGACTTGATGGCCTTATAGGCCCCTTCCAACTTCATGATTCTATGGTTCCATGCCTATTCAGGAACAAATCCCACTTGAGCTTAAACTCAGCTAAATCTAGTCCTGTTTCATAGAGTTCATGAACAAGAACATTATGTCACAGCAAATAGGTCTACATTGTGCCATTCTTACTAGCAAATGGTTCTGGTTTTTGTGCAAGAATACGTAAACAGAAGTCTTCCTTCTGCCCTGTTGAGTGACAGCTACCGTCCATTTTACCCAATTTATTTATTCAAGCCTTTTACTTCCTTCTAGCAAATCTTCTCATTCAACTATTGGATCTTCTCACTCCTGAGAATCAACTACATGTAAGCAATCCACCTGATGATGGAAATGAGGCTTAACAGGATGGCACACACTCAAGACTTTTCAGCTATTCAGTGGAGGTCTCTCCATGGAGAACAAGCTGCAGCTGAAACAATACGACTTGCCAGCTACAAATGATCTTAGAAGGAAATACAACTTTGCTTTGTTTTTACAGAGAAAACACATCTATGGATTAAGGTAAACAAAGAAGTTTGAGCTTTTTTAAAAAAACTAATATTCTCTCCTTGAAATTACAGTTCTTTAGAATTTAAGGAACTGACCAGCCTTTTATTTTGGGTCAGGTCCTCCATCGGACAGACAGCAATTGGTTTTATATGCAGTCATGAAGAGAAGGATATAGACATCACACGCTTAAACGGTATAATAAAATGCATATGCTTTTTTGCATTTGTCCACCTCAGGGAAGTGAAGTTGATCAATCCACATTTTAAAGCAATGCATGATGAAGTACAACAAATGAAATAAGCTTAACTTTGCTTGGTTCTCTTTCTTTTTTCATTGAAGAAGAAACAGACAGGGATTTCCTGATACACACAGTTGTTCCTTCCCTAAATCCAGTAACATAAGCAAATCAGGGCAAATTCCACTACTTGGTTTCATACCTCACTGGAAACTAGAATGCCTATTCAACCCATAAGTGCATATCTGTGTACAGATATAATTGTAGATATAGTCAGACAGGCCCTCTCTACTTTTTATCATATTTTTATTCCCGTTTGCATTAGTAATGGCATGTTGAGTGGATATGAATAATGAAGGCAAAAGCAAAACAAATAAAAAATAAAAGTGGTCAACTTTGTCCTTCCAGCTCTTGTGGGATTGCATCTCCCATTATATCTCACCACTAGTCATGATGACCACTAAGGATTAAGAGAGTTATAGTCTGGCAACAGCTGGAAGAGTAATACTGCTAATCCCACTTTAAAGAAATGTACAGTAAGACCCAGTTATGCATGGGATCAGTGTCCATTGATTCACTTATTCATGGTCTGAAAATATACAAAAATATAAAAAGAAAACTAATTTCCAGAAAACAGTATTTTCACATGAATTACCAGAACCAGTCACTAGAGGGATCTAAAGACTGTGCTATGAATACTTGCTAGTGAAGAATACACAGAATGGTCTCTGGTGCTCTCTAGTGGCCAGATTTGGTAATGCATGTGAAAAAAATTTCTGCTTTTGTTTTACCATGCTGTCTGTCTGTCTGTCTGTCTGTCTGTCCTTCACTATTATCTGAGGTTTTCAGTATCTATAGGGGCATGGAACTAATCCCTAGCAGATATGGGGGTCCTACTGTATAGGTAGACCCTTAGCCTGCAATCCTTTACACATTTGTTAAGTCTAATTTAACTGTTGAGCAGAACATAAGTAGAGCCATGCTAGATCAGACAGAATGCTCATCTAATCCATTATGCCCTTTCCACAGTAGTCAACCAGATGTCAGGGAAATTGCTCTGGTATTTGGAAGTCTCATTAAATTCAGAAATAACATGCAGTCTTTCATAAATATGCATAAACTCAGTGGCAGCATACCTTTCATTGAAACCAAGCCACAGCTTTTCCTTGCCAGTCTGATATTAAAATTGCCAGTCTGATATTAAAACTGCATTGTGTTGGGTGGATGGGATCCAAAACCACAACTAAGACAACACCTTTATTATGTCCAACCAAAATGCCAGGAAGGCCCCTGTGGGCTTTGGAGTTCTCCAGAATTCTGTTTCAAGTAATTTACACGAATAGTTCTTGAGAACTGGAAATCTTGCTCATGATGTGGTAATAAGTTCTTAACAACAACCAGACTACTATACTGTGTGATTTACATCATCACCATCTATTTTTTTCTTACAACATGATCTATTTATGTTTATTGAAAAGCAAGTCATACTGTGCACAAAGCGAGCTCACTCCAAGGTAAGTGTGGGTGGCGTTCTTGCCACTTCTGTAACCTACACCCTTCCCACTGAATTTTTAATTACTGAGAGAGATGGGAGGCTACTTTAAGATTCAAGCGGATCATGACTGGACTATACTTCCTGGGGCCCTTTCTGAGCAACAGGCTGCCACCTGGCTGAATAAATATCCCAGTCTTTGTCCCTAGATAATTTTAAGTCAAAAGTTAATGGAAGTGGGAGTGGGGAAGAGGCCAATTACAAATCTTCCTCAAAATAGTGATTTTGCACCTCACCTGGGAAGACAGATTCCAAACACACCCATTCATTTTCTTTGTTCAATAACAGCATATAACAGGAATATGGGGAATGCTACGATTTGAAAGAAAAGTGAAATACTTACTTTTGTCCATGCTGTGGTTTCTAAACCAGCTTTCAAACAGACCGTCACCACAACATACTGCAGGAACAAAGTAGTACAAGAAAAACACTGAATTTCAACATACTTTTCCTGTTTAACATGATTGTTTCTTTCTCTTTTATTTATTTTAATTATTTATTCGATTTATATCCCGCCCATCTGGTATATTCTACCACTTTTCTAAAAGACAAGCACTGTTTAAATGTATGGCAGGCAAGAACAAAATAAAAATAAAAAAAACAAAGAAAACAAAACCACTGTGACACCTTGAAGACTAACCACTATATCCTTAAATGTAGTGTGCCAGAGCCAGGGAATATTATTTCTTGGGACTTCAATCCCCAGAATCCTCTGAGCCAGGATAATCACTTGCAAAACAGGCTAAAGGATTCTGAAATTTCTGGTCCAAATAAGTAACACTTCTAAGCCCTGGCACTAAAGCCTGTTTGCAAAAGTATTGTGGTCCATCAGTCTAGAAATTAAACGGCATTATATTTGTAAAAAAATCTAACTCTCCCACTCATTTCAAAAATACAACCACAATCCTGGTTGAGTGCTGTTGCACAAAACTAGGGTCAAAGGAAATGTGTGGCTTGATGATAATTCAGCCTCACAGAAATGTTGGCAGGTCTTGCATCTTATGGCAAGCCAGCACCCTTGTAGATTCTTGCAACAGGGTGGTACAAACAGCGTGATCCAAGGACTAACCAAACCATATGTGCATTGTTTGTTTACCACGACATCCAAATCCAAGCAATCTGGCTTGTCTCTCCTTGGAAATTCCACAGAAACAACCTAGGGATTGTTTATGGTTTATTTATCTCATTGGTTGGGAGAGAGACATGGTAGACTGCCAGGTTTGGATGGTCACAATAAACAACCACAGATGGAAGATTTAGCTGCTTATGCTTGTCATCAGAGTGACTGGGCAGCATATGCTATCTGGCTTACTGCGTGGTTCGAGTATACTCGGTTTGACACAGCCCCCCTTCTAAATGGACCAAGAGAACAGAATATGTACATTCTGTACTTTGTGGCACTATTGTCATGTACACTTATTTATTTGCTAAATTTATATCCTGCCATTCCTTCAAATGTCTACATTGGCTTGGGCATGTCGTGAGAATGGCTGATGGTTGGATTCCAAAAGTTCTCCTGTATGGAGAATTAGTGGGGGGAAATCGTCCCAGAGGGAAGACCACAGCTGCGATACAAGGAGATCTGCAAGCAGGATCTGAAGGCCTTAGGAGTGGACCTCAACAGATGGAAAACCCTGACATTTGAGCGTTCAGCCTGTAGGCAGGCGGTGCAGCATGGCCTCTCCCATTTTGAAGAGACACTTGTCCAGCCGGCTGAGGCAAAGAAGCAGACCTGAAACCAGCAAAATCAGGGAGCTGGACAGGGGACAGATTGTATTTGCTTCCATGTGGAAGGGATTGCCACTCTTGAATTGGCCTTTTCAGCCACACTAGATGCTGTTCCAAGTCCTCCATACAGAGCACGTTACCATAGTCTCTCTAGACTGAAGGATGCCTAACCTAAATTCCTTCAAAGGCAGCATACATGGCTCTTCACCTTTACACTGTTTTTGCCAACAACTCTGGACATAGGTCAGACTGAGGGGATATGACTGACCCAATAACACTCAGTAAGTCTGCTGACTGAATGAAATTTTGAATTTCCTGAGTCCTACAATTTACCCAGTGTATCCTATGGGATACTCAGTGTGGTGTAGTAGACAGAGTGACAAACTGGGACTCAGGACACCCATAATCCAATTCCTGCTCGGCCAGGAAACTCTTGGGGTGGAGAACTGGTGCAAACACTCCTTAAATATCCCACTTACCTTGAAAATCCTACCAGGGTTGCTATAAGTTGAATGCAACTTGACAGCACATAACACTCACCCACCTGTACACATTCTACCTACTGTATACCCTTAAAGTAATTCAGCACCACTTTCATTTAACTGCATCCTGCAACATCCTAAGATCTGTTGTTTGGAGGAGGTATTTAGCGTTCACTGCAGTTGTTCAGAGGAGTGCACATAATCTTGCCAGCAGAAAATTCTAAGGGCTCTGTAAGTTACAAATTTTGGGATTCCATAGGATGGAATCATGACAATTGAAAGGGATCAGGCATACTAATAGTTTGACATAAACCATTCCACCACACTATTCTGGCACAGGAATAGATTCCATTACTGAGATGGGATGCAAGATCTAAAGGCACCTGAATTATGGAAATCAAAAGCACAGCTATGGCTCAACGAATCACACAAACCTCTCTTATCTTCCAGGCACATTGCTAGGCATAGGTCTCAGGATCTGGATCTATTTCTCAGCACTGTGTGTGTCACTCTTTCAGCCCACAGCATCTCCCAGTTATCATCATTTTCTCTTGGGGAGAATCATTCCATTCCTTTAACAACTGCACAGTGGCAGAAATTCAATTGGCAAAATCTTCCACAGTATAGTGTGATAATATCAAGCCTACTATGCATGGCACAAAGATATATACAGTTGAAGCTGATGATATTTAACAACATGTCATCAGCAACATGTCATCAGCTATGTAACTTTGGCTGAATTTTGACAGCTTACCGTATAAACTATGTTTCCAACAAACAGATAGTCGACACTGTGACCATTTGTAAATACTGCATCTGAAAGAAACAGCAATGTAAACATTGTGCTTTGTTTCAGACAATATGAGCTACTACTAAGTTAAATGCAAGTGCAAGCAGTGGCCTATTTGGTCCAATACTTGTTTTCTCAAGTGTAAGAACCACTCTTTTCATTTGGGTTTAACTGGATATAAACTTGAAGCTGGATATAAACCACATCACAATTCACAAATCCTTAAACTAAACAGGAAACTAAGCTTAACAGTAAATATTAAGAACAGACTGATGGAGAAAAAAAGACGTTTAAATAAATCTGACTTCACGGCTTGACATGATGCCCAGTCATCACCCTCATCCTCATCTTAGAAGTGTAGAGCTGGAAGAAACCCTATGGATCATAAAATCCTGCCGCTGTCAAGGAGGCGCAGTGGAGAATCAAACTCCCAATCTCTGACTCCACAGAGAGGTATCTAAACCACTGAGTACCAGCTATCTTGGCTATGGGGACATGGGTGCTGTAGTCCAACATATCTGAGTGCAGCCAGTCCAGGAAACAATATTATATTGATATAAATATAATAACAGCTTGGCTTTAGCTAGTTGTGCATTCTGAATGTCATTACCTTAGAAAAAAGTAGTGAGAGGTAACCAAGTGACTATGCAAATGACATTCAGAAAGTACAGAAAGGGTCTGAATGCATATTAGCTCCCTGATACATTTCTGGAGTATGTCTTCTGAATCATGTTTTGTACTGACAATAGGTTTTCTACACTGGGTTTTTGAAATTTCTTTCCAAAGCAAAATACAGGAAGAGGATAGTATAATGATTGTGTTAACCAACAATGTTCCTAGTTCAAAAAAACATATATCAAGAGCTCATAGACAGAGGGCTGGAAACTTCCAGCTCCCACATTGCCCATGTGCCACTGTGTTGCAAACAGACATTTCTACAATGCTCATTTTTATTTGCTTTTTCCTTAAAGGAGGGGGATATTTTTACCCAAACACTTGTTTAAAAGAAGCTGAATCTTTTCTCTAGCACTCACGGCTGGTATTTTAAAAGCTCTTGGTGGGTATTAATGGTTGAAGTGCCTGATATTTCATACACCAACACCCTTTTCCTTCTCCATAAGTGTACAAAAAGGTGAATACGTGTTAACTGAACATATGAAAGTGCCAAACTTGGCAGGACTTTGAAGTAGCCTCTTTATCCGTACTTAGCTCCTGCTGTGGTGTAGAGTAAGGGCCCCTTATGAAAAAGGGAACACATGGCAGCAGTATGCATTCCCAAATTAATCCAAAAGGGCTATAACCCAGAAGAATGACACAACTGTCAAGTGTCAGCAGGTTTCAACCTGGCAACCAAAAACTAACACGTCAGTAGAGGTGAGGCAGATCTAAAACAGAAACCTGGGGCTGGAATCTCCAGGTCATTTGTTGCCTGCAAAAGTAAATTATGCTCCCATTTTAATGAAATGACACTGCAGGAGTGGGCACACTATCAGAACTGACTTGAATTTTGAATACAGTCCAACTCTGGTTTCTAAAAAGTATTTACATTAAATAAAAGGATTTTTAAAAAATATAACATATACACTGATCTTTAGTGCATTCACAATGCATTACACGTACTGTCTGTATTCTTTGCAAGTGCCCTGTATAAGACCCACTGCTCAGGGGTAAGTACAGTGGTGCCTGGCTTAATGAGCGCACCGTTTAACAACGAAGCCGCATAGCGACCCATTTTTTGCAGTCGCTAATGCGATCACATTGCAATGTTTAGATAGGCTAAACATCGCATTGTGATCATTTCTGCACCCGGTGGCCATTTTGGGAACTGCTGATTGGCGGTTCCAAAATGGCCACTGGGTGCAGAAAATGCCCCCCCACCACCATTTTCGCACCCTGCCCTCGCTTCCCGAGGGCACGAAAATAGCGGCGCTATGGAGAAACTTCGCAGAACGGTGAGTTTAATGCGTTTCTATGGCGTTTTCCGTTCCGTATAGCGATGTTTCCCCATAGCGACGGTTAATTCGGAACGGATTAACCTCGCTATGCGGGGCACCACTGTAGTTACAAAAAATGATTTACTGAAATTAATTCAGTTTCCCAATAAAAACTGCAACTACATTACACCGTGGTTGTAATTTAATGGGACACTGAATTGCTTTGCAGCATAAATGTAACTTTTAGTCAGTTTTCTAGTTATAGATATCTGCCTCACCAAACATTGATGGTGAAATATCACATGGTCCATGTACTAGCCCAACAATAAGATGAATAGAAAGAACGTACAGTGGTGCCCCGCTAGACGCTTACCCCACATGACGTAGAAATCGCTTAACGACATTTTTGTGATCGCTATTGGGATCGCAAAATGATGGTTCCAATGGGGGAAATCCGCTTTATGTTGATTAGGAGCCTGATTAGGAGCTTGTTTGCAAAATGATGTTTTTTCTGGCTCCACAAAATGGCTTCTCTCCGCAAAATGGCTTCCCTCCCTTCTCAAAATGGCTGCTTTCCGGATGGAAGCTTTGCATTACAGCGATTTAGAACAGCTGATCGGCGGTTCTCTATGGGCAATCTTTGCTGGACAAGCAGGTATTTCCCCCATTGGAACACACTGACCAGTTTTCAATGCATTCCAATGGGGATTTTTTTTTCGCTTGACAATGATTTCGCTTCACAGCGATTTTGCTGGAACGCATTATTGTTGTCCAGTGGGGCTCCACTGTATGTTTTGTATTACTGGCTAGTAACATAATGACATTTTTAAAAAGTAACAGTTTGTTATTTTGCTTTTAATGCTCAACCATAGGTTAGCACAGGAAAGGGGAACTGGGATTCCAGACCTTTTTGGACTACTGGGTAGAACTGCTGGATGTTGGAGACAAAAAGCATCTGGAAATCCTCAGTTCTTCACCTTGATTTTGTAGTTTAAATAACAGCCAAAGGGAGTTGTGTGCTCCTTTTTCCTCTTCTTCTCCAGCACAAGTGTATGAGGCAGGAAATGATCATTTCCATATGAAATTATCTGAGGATTAGCTTTTCTTTGAGAATTAAGCTGTGACAGATTTTAGCCATGGCTTTACAAAGCTTGTGAACTTTTAGTTCTGCCTCCAGCCAAAGTTCAGTGGTTGCTTTCCCTAGCATAGTGTACAGTGAAATGTTACAAAGAAATCCAGTTACGTCTAGGTATTTTAGAAGAATTTCAATGCCATAGTTTTGTCTTTGTGTTTTCCCTTGTAAAACCCTGCCTTGCTTTTTCACAATCTCAGGGCCCTGGAAAGATTCTTCTGCCTCTGCATTTGACAGTGCTGGTCAGGAAGATGTGCTATGAACACATATTTGCAAGGCTACACAAGTGTCTATTCATTGCACATATGCACACTGCATCTTAAATAACTCAAAAGGTTAAAGAACATGCCAGCGTGAATGACACAATTTTTCATCCTGTGAAGATTCTCAGTCATCCAAATGTGGTTATCTGTACATTGACTTCTTTCTTTTTAGGCTTAAATGTTTTGCTACTGATCCAAGTAGCTTCTTCAGTCTGAGGAGAGATGGTAGGAGATCCCTGATATATCCTCCACATTGGTTTCACTTCCCCCTGGTCTGAATAGGCTCATCAAAAGGATAAAGGACTGGGGTTGAGGGATTATCTCGCTTCTGCAGTCCTTCTCCACTCATTGTCATTAACGGTCATTAACTGGTCTTTCTGGTGTGTGTGGTCCTAATCTTTCTGGGTATGGATGAAAGAGCAGCATGATAAATATATATATCCTTCCCTCAACAGCAAAAACAGCCAGGTTTTTATTTCTGATAGAAACCTGTTAGGTTTTTAAAATATATCCTTGCATATATATATAAATATATATATATAAATTAATTTTAAATCTTTAGGCTTTCTGACAATGACAGTAAGACTAGATGTAATCATAAATTCAATGACCACTGTGGAAATTGGCTCCTAAGTATGAACAGCAGAAACCTAAGTTAAAGAAGACACACAAGGATAAATGCTTTATTTATTTATTTTTATGCTGACCACATAACCTCTGGTTGAGTTCAGTTATATTGGAGTTCATTGGTCAATTTTATGGAGCTCTAGTCTCAGAGTGATAAGCTTTTCACATCACATTCTTTCAACTGATGACCAGTCGCTTCAAGTAACTAAAATGAGATACAGGAAGCAGGACTGTGTAGGAAGTGACTGGATGGAACTCAGCTTACACTCAAGAAGCTGACCACATAACCTCTGGTTGAGTTCAGTTATATTGGAGTTCATTGGTCAATTTTATGGAGCTCTAGTCTCAGAGTGATAAGCTTTTCACATCACATTCTTTCAACTGATGACCAGTCGCTTCAAGTAACTAAAATGAGATACAGGAAGCAGGACTGTGTAGGAAGTGACTGGATGGTACTCAGCTTACATTCAAGAAGATGCATGTTCTTGAATACGAAGGAGAGAGACAACTGCCTCTGATTTCCTAGACTGTGATACCATTCCATCAACCTTCGATTGCTATTCTTAGTCTGTCATTTCTTTCCTCCTCATACCTCTATCTTATCCCTCCAAGGAGGAGAGGTCTTTGCTTTTGTACTCTAGAAATGAAAGGGGCAGCCGTGATTCCTGATAGCTCCAACTTAGGGCTCAATGAGATGGGCATTTATCCCATTGTGGAGATGGATTTGTTCACTCCTCCCCAAAGCTATTACACACTAGAATGTACTAAACTTTCCTAAGCTGTCCTACCTCCACCTTTCTGAGCTTCTAATTTTTTGATGTGTGTATAATCACTCTACAGTACTTTGATCTGTTTACAGATTGCTGGGAATGGACCAAAAGTGAGTCTTCTTTTCTTTAGTTTGTCTGAAGGACCGGTTGGGAAACCAAAGAAAATATTATTTTTTCTTTAAAAAAACATGATGCAGCATCTCAGCAATAGTCTACCAGAGCCATAAAAGAAATTTCACTTCCCCTGCACTTCATTGAGGCACAGAGAAGGTATTCAGTTTTATGATATCTTGAAGTGATTTGCTTATGGAAGGAGCAGGACAAAATATAGTTGGTGGTACTCTAATATGCCAATTGGATGAGGGGATTACACCAAATGGCATATCACAGTTTCACCTGACCCCAAGTGGTCCTATTTAGCCATACCAGCCCACTCCAAAAGAGCCCGTGTAGAAAAGCTCTTAGGGTGAAATTAGATGGCAATATAGGATCATGTTTGATTGCACTAGAAAGAATTGCTTCACTTGGAGCAATCTCCCTCAAAGTGACCTTTCCATGCACACAAGAATTGGCTCAGCCCAGCTCCTAACAATAACAATAACAACAACAACAACAACAACAACAATAATTATAATAATTATAATAATAATTATAATTATAACAACAACAACAATAATAACAACATAAACAAACAAACAAACAAACAAACAAATGAATAAAGCCCTGCCACTGGACAAAAAAAAGATTCAGATAAGACACTAAGCAGGTTCGGTCTGGTTCACAATTTCTTATGTCATTTAATTGCTGTAAAATAGATCACACTGGATTGTGCCACGGGAGATTGAAAACACAAGCTATATTTTCATCTGACCACATCCCTAGTTAGCTAAAACTATGATTTTTATCACTTTTCCTAGATGTGTCCTTCCCTAATAAAAATACACTTTCTATTTTTCTTAGAAACAAGTGTCAATGTGATTCTTTTACAAATGCTCAGGGAATCATTCTGAATGCCTAAGAACTGAACCCACTTGTTAACATCACTCCTTTGTTGCTGCTTGATTATTCTCCAACAGGCTGCATGGCAGGACGATTTCTCATTGGTTCCACCAATCTAAAAATACATGTTTTGACTCATCTATATTTTAGGACTTCAGCAGCATTTCTTTCAGAGGGAAGAGAACCGGAGTAGGTGGAATGGGTCACTTTGTTTTCCATGGAAAGCACTATTCTGATTTGTCCTTTGAATTTTAGGGAGCTAATAGGCGCCTCCTTTGCCACTCACCAGGGCCCAGATAACTACACATACTTAAATCCTCAGGCCACCATAGCCATTTCCCACACTAACTGAGAGATTTTCATAGTTATAGTCCAGAAAAGTTAACTTTTCCAAGCTCTGGGACCATAATGATGGGCAGCTGCTGAATATGCAAATAAAACACACACACAGTGCTGTCCTCTGAAGATGTCGGCCACAGAGAATGGCGAAATGTTAGGAAGAACAACCTTCAGAACACGGCCAAAGAGCCCAAAAAACCCGCAACAACCAAAACACACACAATTCTACAAAGTAGGTGAATCTTTCCTCCCGTACATTCAAGACTGAATTGGTGACTAAAACTGACATGGGTGTGTGTGAAAATAAAATCACAATGTGCATTACATACAATGCACACCTTGCTGTTTTTTCAATGGGAATGTGTGTGTCCTTATAAACACCATCAGAGACTAACGGCTGATCTTGCATAGAGATGGGCATGAATCAGAAAAATGGTGATTTGTTTTGAGTTGCGATTTGTCAAGGTCAATGAATCACAAATTACAAATTTATGATTTTTTTCTGATGAATCGATGAATTGATTTGTCAATTTGGTTTTTAATTAAAACTCTATAAAAAAGCCTTCCAAGCACCTAGATACACCAAATTGGAGGGGAAATTCCTCTGATGCTCCTCTACAAGCCCTGTACGTTTGGTGAAGTTTGCGTTTCAGTCATTCAATTTGTACACCCACAAAGTTCATCCCCTCCCTGCAGGAAAGTACCCTTTAGCAGCTGTCTTGGGGAAATCCAATCTTCACCAAATGTGGAGGATCTGTAGAGGAGAGTCATGGGAAGCTTCTCTGTGGTTTAGGTGTATCTAGGTGCATTGTTGGCTGTTCTATAGCCAAACAAATCAATGAATCAAAAATCACTAAAAATGTGTTGATTCATCAAGGGAATTGATTCATAAGAATATGAATCAATGCATTAGTAATTTTTGAACAAACCTGGTGATTTGTTTTTTAATTTGTACCCATCTCTAGTCATGCAACATAAAGGCTATCCAATAAGAAATAATAAGTCCCAATCTTTACTTTCAGTAGGCAATACATCCAAATAAAATTGCTGAAGGATCAGCAGACTGGTTCAGAGAAGGAAAAAAAGAGAGGTATTTCACAAAACTATTTATCCTCAAATCACTGAACAAAGTCCATAAACATTTGGTGCAATCATAAGCTTCACTCTAGCCCTAACAAAAATCTGACACCAAAAGATTCAGAAGACCAACCTATTCATCGTAATCATATGTATGTATGTAAATCAGTCCTGAATAAATGTTGCTCCTCTTGAATTTTATGCTTACAAAATCTGAACAATGAAAATTGCTGTCTGTGGAAAAAGGGAGGATCTTGAAGGTCACTGCTGATAAATGCTTGAGCCTTGAAAGTTCTTGGTCTGTCTGTTGTGATTAATTTCCTACAAATCTGTTGTGACCCACAAACACACTGCAGCTAATTTACAAAGGCTGAAGACCACTTGGCTGATACATGGAGGGAAAATGAAAGATTTATTTACCATGTTCCAGAGCTTTCAATGGAAACCAAAAGAGAATGATGGAATGGATCAAGGCGTTGATGCAGTGACCCCAGAACACCTACGGGAAAACAAAACAAGGAAGTCAGGAGGCTGACTAAGCACTCCAAATCTGTTTTAACTCCCATCAAATGATTCATTAGAAAAGTTGTGTTTTTTAAAACTTATTTTTACTGTAAACCTTTTTTTTTTAAAAAATATGGCCAGGCTGGCTGAATGTTACAAGAGACACACACAGAGAAAGAGAGAATAAAATACAAAAACAGGCAACCAAAGCTAAAATACTCTTCTCTCCTGAATGCTCTACAGCTGTAAAAATTTGTGCAATAAATAGAGAATTACAATAGTTTACATGGCTTAAATTTTTATATGCAGACATTCAGGGACAAGAGGGCTGGGTGGCAATTGCATTTCAACCATTTTTTGAAAAGAATTTGTCAGAATTCACAGATATTTCCCCCCACATTCTGAATGGAAATAATTTGAAATTAAAGAAAATATACTGAATGTTTGATTGACTTTCTGGGGCTTCACATCATCTTTAAATTTTAGACCCCTCCAACAAGAACCAGAACATTTCTTTCCTTGAACCGTACTGCGCTGAAAAGTCTGAATAGGTTAGTAAAACAAGAGAGTTAAAGCTGGAGGAAATTCTCCAAAATATGAAAAGAAAATACATCAGTGTAACTTTACCTGCATATCTCCCTGAAACATCTTTTTAAACCCACACCCTGACAGAAACAATAAAGTCATCTCAATATTTTCACAAAACCTCTTGGGGAAGGCAGTGGTGCTGGTTCTTAGAAAAAGCCATCAGGTGAAAGTGTGGGAAATTTCATTACACACTCTCAAATTAGTTGCAGCTTGCCTACATCCTGAGAATGCACCACATAGGGAACATGCTGTGAGCTTGATTAATTTATATGCAGATAAAGGGAATTCTCTTAAGAATATGTGAGTCCTACCACCAAGATTCTACTTTCAGTCACTACACATGGAACTTTGAACTGACATTAGACACTATTTTAATTCAGCATATGTCGACTTCTGTGTGCAACCAAAAGCTGGATGCACGTCAGTCAGTTCAATGCACTGAAGACTTTGGGAGATCAGCTTCAGGCACATGGGAACTAGAATCCAATATTCAGGACTCAACTAAACCCAAAGGTGACCATGGCTTAACATTTCAACATGTTCCTAATACCTGAGCTGTTGTGGAACATGTGAAATAATTAAGAGAAGGAAAACTTGAAGCACGTATATATCCTTAACTTTGAAGAAGTACAACCAACCCTCACAGGTTCAAACTTCCAAACAAACATGATGAGCCATGGTGTTCTTTATTTTAAGAATCCAAGCAGTGTCCCAACACTGTCCAAAGAAACAATGTGCTGGACTGTGAAATAGTATGCCTGGTATCACAAGGATTTTCAACACAAAGATGACTGAGAAGCAATTAACGTATGAATGAAGGGCCATTAGCACAGAAGCTGTAGTGGTTTCCATACTGAAGAAGCATTACAAGGTTTTATGGCTGAAAAATGCTGACTTTGATCATTAAAGGCATTAAATTATTGAGGACCAAATTTGCTCCCTACGTCATATGCATCCATACATTAAGGGTTTCAGTAGTCAGCTATGCAATCTGAGGTGACTTATGTAGCTGCTAAGCAGAAGGCCTTTTCAGTGATAATATTCTAAGAATACACCTATGAGAGGTCATCCTGTCACCGACACTCCTGACATTTTTGCACCGAAGAATTGTTTTCCCAGGCATTTTAGATGCTGCTGCAGCAGCAGCAGCAGCAGCAGCAGCATCAACAACAACAACAACAACAACAACAACAACAACAACAACAACAACAACAATAATGTGGCATCAAGTCAATTCTGACCTATGATGACCCTTCTCAGAGTTTTCTAGATAAAAAGTACTTAGAAGTGGCTTACACTTCCCTTGTTCTGAGGGCATCTGTACAAATAGGCTGGCTCTTCTGGAATGCACAGTGGGAAATTGAACTAATGGATCTATCTAGCCAGCTAGATGCAAGTATAATCCTGCTCTTCAGTTTTATCTAGCTTTTAAAATTTTGTTTCCTGTTAGTTCTTAAGTTTTTATTATTGTTTGGATTTGTTCCATTTATATTTTAATTATTTTGTTTTGTTTTCTTACAGGGCTGTTTTGGATGTTATACTAAATCACAATTTAGTATTGGAAGAACAAGTACAGCAAGCCACAGATTCACAGACTTATCCATCTACTCCAAGGCTGCAGTTTAGTGTGTTATCTGAACTATAAAGTGTGATTAAATTTAAGCATGGTTACTGGGAACCATCATGATTTGTGGTTGCTTTGTTTCCACTATCCATAGTTAAAATTAATCATGGTTTGCTGGATAGGACACTAGAATTGAAAGTGAAATATTGCAAATTCCTTCACATGATGTAGAGAAAAAGAGGGAAGAGTTAGGGTTAGTGCAAGTTTGCAGTTTATTGTAGTTTGTGTCTGCAATACTACATTGTGGCTTGACATTAGATATCAGCAAATTAGGGAAACCAGCTTTGGAACTTTGACTGAAGATCAGTACAGAAATACAATAAATAAACAGGCAAATAAATAAATAAATACATGTAGCTGCCTTCTAGCCTCAGTCCCAGTTACTTTTAGAACAATGATTTACAGAATCCTTCAGTAGCATGCTACTTGTGGGATTCTGGGAGTTGTAGTCCAAATAATAATCTTCCTAAACTCTGCTGACACAGCAGCTCTTCAATCTTGCTATCTGCATTTTACAGACCATAAAAATGTGTAACATAGAAAGAATCACAAAGAAGAATAATTTCAGTTGCTTTATAGTCCTGGACATGAATTATTGACCATTTCCAGCAGCGCAAAACTGGTATACTATATGTACAAATTAAAATTTCAGTTTTAATCTGAAGTTCCCTCTTACTCTCTCTATGCCTCAGACAGACATAGTTCCTTACCCTGCTATTGAACCCATCAGCATTTTGTGTAATTTTGTAGAGTTGGGGAAACCTAAGCATGTTGTCTTGAGTGCATGAGCGTTCAAAGATTCCCAAGGTGAAGGGAGGCAATGCTGTGAAAATCTAGAGAAAACAAGAGAAGATATTAAAGATAACACATGGTTAACTGTATAAACAAGTCGAAAGGTAAGAGTCATACCTGGGAGAAAATCCTGACACTGTTAAAATCAACAGCAACGGCTTGACTGAAGTCAGTGGTGCTAAACCTAAAGGGTTCAGTCAGAAGTGCAAAACCTTTTCTAGTGCAATGCTATGAGCTACAGTATGAAAGGCTGAAACTGACTCCAGGAGGAGTCCCATGGGATTAAGTACGCTGGCAATGAAGGAGAAAAGAGGTACATCTTATGCAAGATAGGAGATTACAATACACTTGAGGCCTTGGACAGTCTCCAAAATAGGTCCTTGTTAACACATATTTTGAAATAATGACCAGTATCTTGTACGTGATTTATGCATACATAAATTAAGTAGCATAACTCAGAGGTGAACTGCTGCCAAATAATGAAGCGCTGGTCACATTACGAGACACATGCCTAGCAATGCAACCAGCACTTTGTTAATCAGCAGCAACTCATTATAGTATACTATACTATTCAAGTCACGCTCACATAAATCACCAGTAAGATTGCAGTTAACCGAAGTAAAGCAAATGAAGCAATGACTAAGGCTTGTCACCTCTATCATTCATTTTTATTATTTCTTTTCAGGCAAACTATTTTCTGTTTATTTATATTCATTACAAACATTATTATTTTAATTGATTGGCTAATTAAATTCAGATGAGTAATCAAATTAGGGAATTAATTAATTTCATCTGCCTGTAATGAATTAATATAGACATTATATCCATGCCCTTTTATTATGGGCTTCCAAGGTAGCTAACAAGAATTTTTGCCAGAATTCTATGCTTTGTCTGAACGAGAGCAGCTGTATTGAACCTGTGACATTTAGATAAGCGTTGACTCACGATTTAACAGATGATTCAATGAGTTTACTCTATTTGGAACTAGGAATAAGACTGCTGGACAGCATCAACAGTGGTGTAGAGTGAGGAGATTTGCAACCCAGCAACACAAACCCCATCCCTGTCATTAAATGAAGTCATGCAACAACTTAAGAGGTTTGTGGATCACATTTTGTATAAAAACCTGCTATTAATCATGGAAATGAGGAGAAAAGATGGCATACAGATAAAGACTCTAGCTCTAACTGGACTGTTTTTCTCACCACCACCGAACATTCATTCACCAAGCAGTGCCTTGTGAGAAGGGCCTTGATGAGCTTTTCTTTTGATTTTGGCTTGCACTGATTTACTGTGTTTTGCCTTTACTTCTAAGATGTCTTAGATGAATTAATGAATTAAAATGCATTACTATTTCCCCCTGAATTGTTTGTTCCAGTGGAACATTCTGCAGTGCTCAAGTAACATCATGCATCTATGATCATGCAGAATGTCACTTGGAACTAATTTCCACCAATTATCAATGGGACTTAATTTCCAAGAAAATGTACTGAAGAGTAAACTGACTGAATTTATAGTTGAATCTAAATTTGTATATCATACGGACAATAACGAGGAAGCTTCAGTGCAAAGAGTGAGGAAAATAGGTTTAAGAACCTGATCAATTTTGTCAGGGGAATATTCTTATGATGTGAGTGTGTGTGCGGTGTGCTATAAAATCATATTCGATTTATAGAAACCTTAACAGGATTTTCAAGGTAAATAAGATATTTAAGGAGTGATTTTCCGAATTCCACTCCTACCCATAACAGATGAGTTTCCATGGCCAACTGGGGTTTCAAACCCAGGACTCCTGAACCCTAATCTGTCATTTTATCCATTACAACATTCTGAGAGTAATATTCTAACAGTACTGTACAAGATTGTTAGTTACCCATGATTAACCAACCATTCATGTAAAGGGGAGAGGAAAACTATTAATCTGCATTAATTTATGGTTACAAGAGGACTGCAGCCAACCAAAAGGGATTATTAATTCAAATCAAGGTATGAAAATGAACAGATACCTCACTCCCATTATCTTTTTGTCCTCAAACTAGGTTGATGATAGATGTTAGAACTGACAGTATTCTCCCTTCATGTAACAGGGACTCTTTTAGAGTTTACACCTAGGAATCTTTAGTCTATAGCCCACCTTTTCCCTAAGCCTCAGTTACTCTCATGTGCTGCTCCTTGTACACCTTCCTGTACTTTACAATCAAACTGGAGTTATATAGTTACAAATGATACACTTATGACTTATTGTTATCACTGATTTTTAATTTCAGGAAGCAAATTAGCAGCTATTAACAATTGCTTTAAACTGGTAACTGAAATGTTTGGAATGATTCCAGTTGCTGCACTTAATATGGGGAAGAATAAGACCAGATCTTGCTTCCATATTGTTTTAATTTCCATTTGTATCGTCAGTATTTTTGAGGTTTGTTGATGGAACTCCAAATTCTATAAGGTATATTTTTCTTTGTTCCTGAGGATAAGTATAACAACCAGATGGTGATAATGATGAATGATTTTGATTTCCTAAATTAATTTTTTTGCAAGGACTTTTCCTTATTATGCATTTTTGATTGGAGAATAACATTTAAAGAAGTATTGAAAAACCAAAGTTTAATTGTGTTTAGTTTGCATATGAATTTCTGAAGTGCAAATTAGTTTGGTCCACACTAAAATGTGAAAGGAACAAATGTTGCCCCCATTCCTACTCAGAAACATGAATATCCCCACTGGCTATCAATCCTGAATGCTACATAACTTGATTTTAACTTGATTTCTAACTTAAACTTGTATCTCTGCACTATATGTACATTAAACTGGCTGTATATAATTATATACAATTTCTATTTATTTTCTTTATAAAAGGGGGGGAATCCTTTCATTGTTAAAGTTTGGAGTATGATCCCTGCCAGAGATGTTTCAGAATACAGGTGAAGATCAACTTCAACAAAGAGCCAGCTATTCCTAGGGATCAGTAAGAGCAAGTACATTTCCTAGCTCCATGATGTCATCAGTCTCTTTTGAATTAGTCACAAAGCAACACACCAGATGGCTACATTGAGAGCATTTTGTATTCTTGTGCATTAAATGAGAGCCAAGACTAATGGGCAGCTCATATGATTGACTTTCCCTGCTGTGTCTACACTCATGGGGAACATGTCACTGTTTCCTTCTTGGGAGATTGCCCCCAATTACAGCTGCTGGTTGAGCAATCATGAGACACAAGGGACACTGTTATTCCCATGAGAGCTTTGTATAACAAGGCTCTTGGGACATGCTAATCCATCCTATGTATGTGTCACACTTTAATCCTGATGGGAATGGGGTGAGAAGTCCCCTTAATATTTTGGAGAGGTTTCAAATGACTAATGGTAAATGGTATTCACACATAGGCACAAAAGAGTCCCATGACACTTTAAAGACAAGCAGCTTTTATTATGGCAGAAGGTTCCGGGAATCGCCTACTTCATCAGATGTACCTGGTAGAATAAGCCCTGGTTCACAAAAGTGCAAAAGCTTATGCCACAATAAATGTGTCATCTTTAAAGTGTTTGCAGGACTCTTCAGTTGTCAGCCTTAAACAGACTAATAGGGCTACCCTTCTGGAATTAAGGAGAGCCTTTGCATGTGATTTAATTGATACAAAAGAGCATTGTTGTTCACACGCAGTAAAAAGCAACAAGGAGAAGATGCCTGTTCCTTTCCAGCAGGACTCAAAAAAAGATACACGAAACAGGCAAGCTTCCCCCTCTCCCCACAGGAATTTCATCACTTAAAATAGGATTCCCCTCCTAGGATATTTACATGGACAAACATGACAAAATAAAGCAATTTACGAATGTCCAAAGAATTCCACAAGTAATTTTGAGATCTTAGAAAACAAAAAAGGCAGCCACAATGACCCAATGAAATAGAACGGGCAGACATAGCAGGAACCCATGTACTCCTTCCAAAGAACAATATTTCTAGGCTACCAAGGATTAAAGATGGAAAAATACCCCATTTGGATTTAAATGTCTTAGTTGCTTGTTGGTTTCTTTAAAAAAAAAACTCTTACAGAGTACAAGTGTTATGGCTGAATACTGTTCCCCCCACCTTTGCTGATGTGTCAGAATCAAAGACTTATGGGTTTTATTAAACCCTAGGCCTCTCCCCACTGAGTAATTATTTAATTTTATTTGCACCCATGGTACTTTTCCTGGTGTCCACATGATGCAAGTTGAAACCAGCATCAACAGTGTCAAAAGCATGACAAATAAGCTTACTTTTTCCTTGTGTGGACCCTATTAGAGTGGTATCTCGGTTTACAAATTTAATGGGCTCTCTGGGACATTTCATAATATAAAAAATTCACAAACCAAAACATGGTTTCCCACAGGAATGCATGCATGGGGGCGGTGCTATAAACCTCCCAGGCACAATACAAACTTGCTTCGTATTGCGGAAAAAAATTCATAAAGCAAGGCATTATTTTCAATGGATTTTTGTTCGTAAACCAAAAATTACGTTAACTGAGGCGTTTGTGAACGGAGGTACCACACCACTGTGCTGTGTTTATTGCTGCTGATCTGTGCCATCTGTAGATGATTTTCATGAAATGAAACTTCTTTGTGGATGTATTCCATTGTCCAACTCCACCTTCTGTGGCTTAGCAACACTCCTACCTGTTTGTCTTCTACATTAAAAAGTCTCCCTTTTCCTTCTTCTGTCTTCCTTCTTAAAATTCTCCATATTAATCTGGAATCAGTCAGAAGCAGGAATAATTCCCCACTTCTAACAGCAGTTGGGTATCATATGACACTTCATTTTGTCCCCCCCCTTAAAAAAAAATTTAAAATGCACAAGCATATTATAACGCCAAGGCCAATGTTTCAAAATATCAAAATGCTACACTTTCATTTCTCATTTTTTGGAATGTGAACAAAGGCTTTATAATAGTCTCCTCACACATAGAGATTTTGTTTTCCGAGAAGACAAGGTTAATTGCTCAAGCAAAGACAAACACCTGGCATACATCCTTTGACTTGTATTCCTGCACTCGATGGCCTTGTAGGCTCCTTCCAACTTCATGATTCCATTATTCTAACTTGGGGTGGTGGGAAAGGATCAAATGTTAAATGCAACCCCTGAAATCTCCCCTCCCCCAATTTCTTCCATAGAAGGAACAAAAATGAACATATATTAATGGCAATATTTTCAATGCAGCACAAAATAGTCTAACACCAATGTAGAATCAGGAGCAGAACACTACTTGAGGGAGAAATTGTGGCAGCAGTGATGATGTTGATCACAGACAGGGAAAGCGTCACACACAGATCAACTGTTATGAGCAGGTGTAAAAATGTGAAAAAAATTAAAGTAAAAGAAGATTATTATGCAGTTATATGTAGATAGGCTGAAACTGGAACACTTCTCCATAGTGTGTTAATGAAAGTGTGCTATGGACAGATAATGGGTGGGGAAACAAAGGTAAGAGGGGGAAAATGGGCAGAATTAGGGTGGAGAAAACATGCAAAAGGGCATGGCAATAAGATCTGAGACCAAAGAGTCAAGAGACAAATCAAGGCATATATGGACAGGATGTACTATACATACCAGTACATCCAGCAGCAATAGCCCTCATGTGTCTGGATGCAAGTGAAGGGACGATTAATTTAGAGTAATTCAGATCAGCAACAGAAATACCAGGAATGCTTTGGAACAACTGGGACCAACACCATTGTGTGAAGAAGCTCATAGTTTCCTGTTGTATCCAAACTGAGAAAGCCTATGTCAAGATATAGTTTCATATTTTGGCTTGTGGCCCAAAGCTAAGCCACAGTATCCCATTTTGGATGCAACAGGTGCCTCATCTTCCTCCCATTCCCATAGCTAAGGATTGGTGTCAGGCACATGTGAAAGAACCTGCAGTTGGAGCAGAAACACAGGATGAGGATTGTGGAAACATTGCTAAAGAAAGCAAGCATCTTAGAGCTCTGTTTATAGTTTTCTCAGGTTGGATGTGAGATTGAGGTGTGTGTTGCCAGCTGATGAGGTGCTTTCTCTAACCATAAAAACATAAATGAATTTTAGACCAGTAAAATCTCAAAAACAGACTAGCTTTTGGATCCAGCAGGAATTTTCATCAGGTTGGGCACAGCAGAGCCAGGGTAAGGAGTAGAAAGCAAAATAATAATAATAATAATAATAAGAAAAAAAATAACAAAACAATTCAAGAGTGCAGAATACTGCACACCTCTAGTGACTTCACTGTCTATGGAAAGATTTGGATTTAGATTACAGTACTTATTTTTCAATTTGCATCCCTATACCAATTTATCCAAATCAGTGTTTGATTTATCGAAATCAAGGTCTGAGTGATCTGAGTGATACCTTAGCCACTGTAAAGTCGAAGCATTTGATTTAATGGACCACAAGTGTACAGGCACATGATAGGTTAATATTTTCAAGACACTATTCTTGCATAGAGGTAGCAAACGGAGGACTGTTCACTTCCCCCTCCCCCAAATGTAAGGAAAATGTAAGGCAAAGCAAAACTAGTTCCTAATACACATCATGCTACATATACTGATGATCAGCTGAGATAAACTGTGTAGACATAAACAGCAGAGGTACACCATCCGGGGTCTGCATGTTATCAAGCTGAGACAGGGGACACTTACCACATTGTAGAGGCCAATGCACCAGCGCTCAAATAAAATCTGCCCAGAAAATCCATTAACGAATGCAAACCAAAGCTGAAACAGAAGAAAGTTACACAAAGCTTTAGATCAATGTGACAAAAAAGTGTCTATGCACTGAAGAGGAGAGTCTGGAATGTGGTCATCATCTGGTGGAGGCAGCTGTTGGATAGATTCTAAAGATAAGTGTTCACAGTTGTTCTCTTTTAAACAGTGTAACACTGCTGAAGCGATAGTGCAATCTTTATAATTTCTATCATTATGCTAAAATAATAAACCTCTTGTAAACCTGTAGGAAAATCTTATTGCTAGCAAACTTTCAATATGTATTCCTTATTGTCTGAACATTATCTGATTTTGCTCACAGAGCATGTAAGGCACAAAAGCCATGCATGCCAAGCTAATCCTCTAAATAACACATGAGACTACTCTAGCCCATGGTTCATTTATTTCAGGTTGTATCCCACCCCCGGGACTTGGAATGCATGATAACAGTTTAAACACACACAGAGACACCAGTTTTTGGATTACTGCAAAACAGAATACACAAAGTTTTGGAAAAGTTTCATTTGGGGGCAACAATTCTAGAAGTGTCCTGCCAGTATGGCTAAGAGGCCTGGCCATGCTGGCTAGTGATTCTGAGAATTGCCTTTTGCTGGTATAGTATAGCTTACGATAGAGGTATTTGTCCAGTGGACTCCAGTCACTGTAAAGAAGAATTTCAAAGAAGTATTTTTTCTAAGCTTTCATCCCAGGCTAATTGAAATTTCAACTCTCCCTACTATGCCATAGCACATTGCTTTGAAACTTTCCATCGTTTCACAAACAGCTTCCTAAATATCATGGGAAGCTTGGGTTCATGGGAGAAAAACAAAAGTCTAAGGCTGGAAACCTCTGCTCATTGATCTGGAAGGAAGCCCCCAGGCCACACATAGTCTATCTCGTTCTAATCCAGCAGTTTTAATAGATAAGATTGTCAATGGGGAAACTCAGGTTGACAAAGATCCTTGCTCTAACAATGGTAGGATACTTAAGGATAACAATGGTAGGATACTAAGATTGTCAATGGGGAAACTCAGGTTGAGAAAGATCCTCGCTCTAACGATGGTAGGACACTTAAGGATAACAGTATGCATATCCGTGGTAGGTTTTATTATTTAGCCCATAGTGTCTTACCTAGGGGGGGGGAATAATCTTACGAAGCATGGCCATAGGAAAATGTGTCTTGCGAGTCACCTAAATAAATAAATAAATAAATAACAAACAGTATGCATATTCATGGTAGGTTTTATTATTTAGCCCATAGTGTCTTACCTAGGTTGGAGAGCTGAGGGCCAGCAGAACTGATACTAGATGCAACTGAAGCTGAGTTAAATCCAAATTCTCCCCATTCTGTGATAAATCCAAATTCTTTCCCTTGGATACTGGAAGTTACTTAGGTGGGCTCGTTCTTCAGCTATTCTCACAACTAATGTTAGCCAACACAACAGTCTGAGATAAGCTTGCCCAAGGGGGCTCTGCCAGCATAAAGGAAAATTGTCCTATCATCACAAGAGGCTTCTTCTCATTCCAAACCTCCTACAGCTGGCACATTTTAGAGTTAGTATTCCACCAACTGTTGTATTTGAACTCATTCAAATAAGTGGGACTTAGTCACAACTAACATACTATAGATTGTAGTGATTTCAATCACTCTACTTTAAATCTGAATGAATCTGGACCCAATCCACAAATCAGGAATAATGAATCTTTGGTCCTCCTGTTCCATTGGATTACAGATCCCATAATCCCTTAACATTTGCTGTGCTGGCTGAGTTTCTAGAAATCCAAAATACCTGGACATGTGATATTCCTCACCCTTGACATGGATTCCATTATTCTTTACAGGACTGGGGTCCACCAGACAAGTACCTCTTTCCTAAACTATACCAGCATAAGGTAAATTATATGACCTCCCAAATCAGACTGCTGTTAATTAAAGGGTCCCTGTTTTGATTCTAGGACACAATTGAATTGCATATACTGCATTTTATTATTTATTAGTCTCATTTATAGTCCCAATGAAAGTGGCTTATTGTGTTAAAACAAGTCAAATTAAAAATACAATAAATTATTAATTAAAAGCAATTAAACTATAGCTGTATCTAAGAACACACTGAGTGACTAAAAACATTTAAAACTTTAAAGATAAACTTAGGCTGTGACTACAGGGTCAAATACTGTGGGATTTGCTGTGGATATAAAATAGATATATTTACATTTTTTTAAAAAAATTGATCATCCAATGCAAAAGCCAATTCAAATCTGTCTGTTGCTCCTAACAGAGTTCCCCCCCTCTGCAGCTGAGGGCTTCTACTTTTTTAATCTGGAGTGATACAAACAGATTTTGTCCCCATGTGATCAGTTGTTTCATTCACCGAAAAGAGGGTTGGGGGTAGGCATGGCTGTGGCTGGTAGTCTAGTAATATACCTAAGCTGGGTGTTTTCAACAGTGGGAATATCCATTCTAAAAATCTTTCTCTTTCTCTTTAAGAAATAAAAAAATATTTTTAAAAATAAACTACCAAGTTCAGCATTAGATCACCTTATCACTATATTGATATATACTAGTTTAGTTCTAGATCACATATGCATGGACCAAAAAAAAAGAGATAAAAATTGATATAAAATAGAAACCACTCCAATGAGCTACAAAAGACTACCTTTCCATGTTATGTGTATGTGTTTGTACATTATGGAGAATTTTGGAAAACTGTCACTTTTCCCTTGTACTGTGCAACACTTCAAAAAGCCAAATATCTTACAATTAAACAAAAAAGGAGAGAGAGAAATTGGCAGAGAGAGAGATCAAAGGAAGGTGAGCTATGGCATGGATCAAAACACATCAGATTTCAGATGTCCACACTGGCCCTGAAACCATCCACATTCTCTATGTTATCACTAATCCAAACAGAAGCATAAAAATTAAGCTTTAGCGAAATCAAATCACTCTGATCCAGCTTGCCAGTGTTGTTGTAACACTTTAAAGTTTTATGAGGCTATTTGCTTACTTAGATATCTACTGATGAACCACGCAAATGCAATTTCACAAAATGCATTTTTTCTTATTCATAATCATATAACAGACAACACGAGCAATTGCAAGCAGCAACAAAATACTACAATTTGTGCACCCAAGTCCTAGATAACAACACCAGTACAGACACTGCTTGTATAACTGCAAAGTTCAAAAGTTCATTTGCATTCAAATTCAGATAAAAATCCAAGACATCTTCCTCAACTGGGTTGGGTGTCCACTATCTAGAAGAATCAGTTCCACATGTGGAATATTCAAAATCCTAAACTAAAATACCAGTTCAATTGAATGCAATTCATGAATTCACTGTGTGGATTCACTCCTTCAACACAAACATATAGTAATTATATCTAAACTAAGTTGGCAAGGGCCTTGGCAGTCCAAGTAGCAAGAGGAGCTCAGACCACTTCAGCTGTCCCACTCATTCTGATTCCAATTTCTTACTCACAGCCCTGCTCTTTCTTAGCCCCACCCCTTTAGGTTGAACCAATATAGCACAGGGGTGTTACATAGTCACAGTCTGTCTTAGCTAAACACCAGCATCCAAGGACTCATCTATGGTTATTAAAATATAAGTAAAGTCAAACCAAAAAATACTCCAGTTAGTGAAAATCTGCTATAGGGGATGACATCATTACTCTTACCCTGGCATAAGGATTTTGGCCACCCTTTTCTTGTAAATCCTACATCTTCCCCCACTCACTACTATGAAGTAGTATTATAACTGTGTTTGGTTTAGCAGAAATACTTCTTAGAGAATACTGGTTCTTTCGGTACTTCTTTTTAAATTGCTGGAAGATTTATACTGCATCCTTGGATCAGTTTGTATATAAAAAAGTTGCTGAGAGACATTTCTGACTTTCCAAATTCGATTGTCCTCTAGAAAAAAAGAACTGTGAATCTGGTTTTGCTACACAAACATCACTTGTAACATTTTATGGAGCGTCTTGAACTAATTTTTATCATATGCACGTGCTGCTGGGAATTTTATGGGCAAAATCTAAACCTTTTGAAACTGCATCCAACGTTGGAAAAGTATCTTTTATTGAAATAATCCTCTGCTGGATAATCAAATCCACTTGTTCCAAGGGAGCTACTATTTAGATGGGCCCAAACTAATAAAAGCACTAGAATTTGAGTTCTGTTTTTAAAAATGAAACAACTGGTATTTCAAAATGCAAAACCCATGCAGATGGATGGATATGAAGCAAAATGCAAAATGCATTGCATTTTTAAAATAATTACACCATAAGACTTGTGTTAAATGCCTTTTCCATGTGATAAAAAAAAGTTGGCTTTGGCTATGAGGTATGATAGCAAATAGTGCATTTGCTTGTTTTGAAACGTTTTACCCTAATGACTACTAATCAGTTTGTGTTCTCTGAAATCAATATATTTAAAATCTAAGGAGGACTATATAAAAGCATTGCTTCAGGTAAAGAAATGAATGTGTGTGCGCGTGCTCACTACTGTTTCCACAGTGGATTACCAGGCCTAAACAAAAGGAAAAATAAAAAGTATAGAATACAAAAACACTGTAGCACCACGAAGACTAATTGCTATATTTTTAATGTGAGCTTTTGTGGACAAGTCTATTTGCTCAGACTTATCCATGAAAGCTCACACTAAACGTGTATACATATACAGTATATCACAGAAGTGAGTACACCCCCTTACATTTCATAAATATTTTAGTATATCTTTTCATGTGACAACACTGAAGAAATGACACTTGGCTACAATGTAAAGCAGTGAGTATACAGCTTGTATAACAGTTTAAATGTACTGTCCCCTCATAATAACACAACACACAGCCATTAATGTCTAAACCACTGGCAACAGAAGTGAGTACACCCCTAAGTGACAATGTCCAAATTGGGCCCAAGTACCCGTTTTCCATCCCCCCTTTTTTGCCAACATAAGATTTGAAAACATAGATATATAGCACAGTGTGCATTTAAACAGTAAACATAAAGTGTAA